AAGGGTGATGTATTTCGTGTCACAATCGACGAGAAAACACCATTGAGGCAACGATACCTCGTAACTGACTCATTAAAAGAAAATGTGAAGACAGAGGTGTATGTATTTTGTTTGATCAAAAGATTTATTCTTTGAAAATATTGAAATATTTTTCTTTAAATAGAATCAAAGTGACAGAATCAAAAACTGACATCATCATCACTTGCGGACTAAACAAAGCCGTCATTCATGCAACTCCATTTAAAATTGATTTCTTTCGAAGTGAAATGCTGCCCAATTTGATGGAAGTCATTATTGGTAGTTTCCATTATCTTCACAATGATAACTTATATTGCGTCAGCATTGCACTTCACAATTTAACAGTTCTAAGCCTGACTTATTAATATATTTTATTCACACAAAAATGTACTTGACATTGTCTACAATTGAGATACCATATCAAGTGTTTATTTGAAATAAGGTATCGAACAAATATACGAATGCATAATTGCGATAAGGTACACTTGAGATGATCTAATCAATGAAATATGCCCCTAAATTCATATAAATATGATCATGGCTTATCACACCAATTATTTCAGTTTAGATCGGGAAACGTTCAACATGAAATTGGCGATATCAATTTTGTGTGCAGTTGCCCTTGTGACGGGAGTCATTTCAGTTGATCGAACGATTTTCAAAACATGTGAACAAAGCAGTTTTTGTCGGTAAAGATTTTTTTTTAATTAAACAAACGAAAGATAAATTCAGTAAAAAATGATATTATTAAAATAGGCGTTGTCGTAATGTAGAACCCAATAATTCGTCATACGAATTAGTACCAGCCACATTAAGCACTTATTCAGACTCGATCACAGTTGACCTTGTCAACAAGAACAATGGCCACATCTTTGTACTGAAAGTGGAAGGAATTCATGTAAATATTACCAAGTGGATCTAATCTAAATCATGTAAATTACGTAATTTTTCTTTGATCGATTTTAAGGGTGATGTATTCCATATCGCAATTGATGAAAAAACTCCACTGAAGAAAAGATATTGCGTTACGGATGCATTAAAGGAGCCTATAAAATTAGTTGCGTAAGTATTTCTTTCGTAACTAAATGAAAACTGTCTGAAATTTCATTGGTGGTTTACATTTCAATAGCGTTGAAGTGGTGAAGTCAAACTCAAATGAATTGGTCGTTAAATACGGACAAAACAAAGCCGTCATTCATGCAACTCCGTTTAAAATTGATTTCTATCGAAGTGAAATGCTGTTCGTGTCGGCCAATGCTAGGGGGCTATTCAAATTCGAACACTATCGCACAAAAGCAAACAAATCAAATGATGACGTTGACAATGAACCAGGCGCGTGGGAAGAAGATTTCAATTCATTCCATGACTCAAAACCGAATGGACCCGAAGCAGTCGCAATGGATTTCACCTTTCCACAAGCTGGAGTTCTCTTTGGTATAACAATTTACAATTACTTTGAGTTTACAATATTGAAGTACCGCATTGAGAAATGAACATTTTACATAGGTATTCCGGAGCATGCTGATTCATTCGCATTGAAATCAACTTCGGGTGGCGATCCATACCGTTTGTATAATTTGGATGTTGGTGAATTTGAATTGGATAATGGTATGGCTTTGTATGGTTCAGTACCAGTTATTTACGGTCATGGGTAAGATTTTACCAAATTAAATCGATTAAAAGAACAACTGATTTTAAGTAAAAACTCTGAAACAGCACTAAAGGAACAGCTGGTGTTTTTTGGATGAATGCCGCCGAAACATGGGTTGATATTTATAATCAAGATTTGCAAAAGAATGTGTCATCGTCTGGAAGCGCTGCTCATTTTATGTCCGAAAGTGGAATTGTTGACGCTTTCATTTTGTTGGGTGAAACTCCGCAAAATACATTCAAACAGTACACGGATTTGACTGGTGTCGCACCATTACCACAACCGGCCGCATTAGCTTTCCATCAATCTCGATGGAACTACAATGATGAGAAAGACGTTCTTAATGTTAGCAAACATTTTGATATTCACGATATTCCTATGGATACTGTAAGATCTGAATAATATTTATTTCTATTTAAATTGTTTCATAAAAAAAATTTGCTGAATTTTAATTTGATTGACATTTTTACAGATGTGGCTTGATATTGAATATACCGAGGAAAAAAAGTAAGTTTAAACTTGAAATTTGCAATTTTCTTCTTTCAAATTACTACTCTATCGTTCATATTCAAAACTTTCTAACAGATATTTCACATGGGATCCACAAACATTCCCTCATCCATTGGAAATGATCAGAAACTTAGCTGCAAGTGGTCGGCACTTAACAATCATCATTGATCCGCACATTAAAACAGCAAACAACTACCATGTCCATGGTGACTGCACTAAATACGGCTATTATACAAAGAATAAGGATGGCCACGATTTTGAAGGTACTAAGAAATTGCACTGAGCGAAATAGGAATTAAAAAAAGAAAACTAAAAATATAGATATTATTTATAAATATAGGTGTATGTTGGCCAGGCAATTCAAGTTATGCAGACTTCTTCAATCCAGTCGTTCGCAAATACTTTGCCGATCAGTATCTCTTGGAGAACTTTAATACAACTACGAATGATGTTTTCATATGGAATGATATGAACGAGCCAAGTGTTTTCAGTGGACCAGAATTGACAATGCCAAAAGATAACTTACACAATACCGAAATGGGAACTTTTGAACATCGTGCTGTACACAATTTATATGGATTCATGCAAACAAAGGCCACTTTCGATGGTTTGTATCGCAGAGGAAATGGCAAATATCGTCCATTCATTTTAACTCGTAGTCATTTTGCTGGCAGTCAACGTTACGCAGCCATTTGGACAGGAGATAATACCGGCGATTGGGGATATTTACAAATGTCACTAAAGACCTGTTTAACGCAAGCCGTAAGTGGATTTTCATTTTGTGGCTCGGATGTTGGTGGTTTCTTTAAAGATCCAAGTGCAGATTTGTTCGAGCGTTGGCATCAAGCTGGTGCATTTCAACCTTTCTTCCGTGCACATGCCAACATGTCCACGAAACGACGTGAACCTTGGTTATTCCCAGAAGATTCAAAACTTGTTGTTCGTGATGCAATTCGTAAGCGTTACACATATTTGCCATTTTGGTATGTTATGTTCTATGAACACGAACGCTTTGGTTACCCAGTGATGAGACCACTTTTGAGCCATTATCCAAACGATCCAGAGACATTTGCCATTGACAATCAATATTTGTTGGCCGATCGACTGTTGGTTCATCCGGTAGCACAAGAAGGTGCCACCAAAGTCGACGTTTACTTCCCACGCCACAGTGCATCTGGCGACGGTGATTTGTGGTATGATATTGATGACTATACTGTGTACGATTCGGTTGGATATGTTGGCATTCCGGTGAATAGAAACAAGATTCCAGTATTCCAACGTGGAGGAACGATTGTGCCGAAGAAAGAACATGTACGACAAGCATCAACTTTGATGAAGAACGATCCATACACTTTGATCGTTTGTTTGGATCGATACCAAGAAGCCAACGGAACGCTTTATGCTGACGATGAACAGAGCTTTGAATATCGAAATGGCAAATATATTTACGTACAAATCGAATTCAAGAAGAATGTTTTGAGCAGTAAACGCATCGATCCAAGTGCAAAATTCGATACACAGGTGTCGATTGAACGTGTTGTCATCACTGGTTTGGATAAAGCACCACAATCAGCCACACTCTCAACATCATCAAATAATGTTGCACTTGAGGTTATCAAGAATGAAAATTCATACAGCATCAGTAAAGCAACGGTTAACATAGCCGAAGAATGGAAAATTATTTTGAATTACTAATTTTTTATTTTGTTTTTTTTTTCGCAATTAATTCAACAATTAACATATATATTTCTTTGTAAATGAATATTAAGGAGAAAAGGTGGAAAGTGAGATTTTGTTGTACAGCGTATTAGATTTATGATTGGATAATGATAGTACACTTATTTTCATTTACCAATCGCAATAAAGACTTTGGTTAAATTCGAATTCTTGTTTACTTTATATCAATTTAAATCTTTTAAAAATACCCTTTACCTATCCGAAATGTTTATCATTTGATCGACGTTTAGGAAATGGCGCCGGAATGCATACACCAACTTTTTGTAAAAAATGACACTCCTTTCACACTTTTAGCAGAAAGAATAATTTGCTGTGAATATTATTAATATACAATGGCATTCATTCGTCACTCGATTTTTTTGGAAATTATTTCAAATAAAAAAAATCACATTTGAGAGAGACAAATTGATATTTTTAATTTTTTTCATCATGGCCATTACCTTCCGATAGTGTTTAAAACTATGTATGTTGAATGTTGATTTTTAAACTAACCAAGAATTGCATGAAAATGACAGCGACTATATATTCCGAATCAAGCTCATTCAATCTCTCATTCAATGCTAAAAGAATTCAATGATTTTATCGCTTTGGTTTCAATTTGATCTGTCATTCGCAACATACATAAAAAAACATTCGCTTATGTCCGAAATTAATGTTTATTTTGTCGTAAAACTCCAATATAAATCTATTTAATTTTATGTCAATCTAATAGTAAATTAATTTAATCGTCAACTTCAGCATCGGCGTCT